CGCTCTTGCCCACGCCGGGGCCGCCCACCACCGCGATCTTCACCTCGGAGAGCGAGGACTTCTTCCTCCGGATCCCTCGGATGGCGTTGCTCGTCATGCCTGGGGAAGAAGACGTTTATTAGGGGCATGCCAGGGTCACGTTTCATAGGGAGCGGAATCCCTGGGGCAAGGGGTAGCGGGGGAAAGTCCACGGTGAAGTGCCCATGTGTTCTGCGGCAAAATACCTGAGCTATAATAAAGTTGTGGGTTCAGTTTTTCTCTTTCTTTAGAGTGAGCGCCGGACGACATTCAGGAGGGAACTTCAAACGCTAAGAAGACGCCGAGGCAAATAAACAGCTTGAAAAGGGAGAGCGTCATTTGAACATTTTGTAGGGAAGAACTTTTTAGTAATACTTGATTTGTTTTTTTCCTAACAGATTTGTTACAAATTTCATAAAAGAAAAATGAGTGGATCCATACTACCAACAACTTGTCAGAACGATTAAAACACACGCAGCCTGACCAGAAAAAGGCTTTAGTGTTGACGTAAAATTGACCAAGCTCTGTATATAGCTTGCAATTTTTTATGATAGAGGAATATGTTGATGCTTGCCGCCCTTCGATACCTTGAATAGAGTAAATGTGCATTACCCGGGGACTAACATGCCTTTTAACAGAAGGTTGTCGAACCCGTTATCTCATCTTCCAGTAAATTTTATTTAGAATCGGCTTTCCAATTCTGCGTTTATACTCAAGAGAGTCAATGAGGCACGTGCCTCGCCTGCGCGGCACTTGCCCGCCGCGGCCGCTCCTCTTGCCTCGCGGGCAATCGCTCTTTGGGCAATTCGTGGCGCTGCGCAGTACGGACAGAACAGAGGTGCTGAGACGGAGACTCTTTGGACGTTTGCTCCTTTGGTATCGGATCATTTAGCCGCCCGGCATGAACGCAGAATGCCTCTCCCCCGCCCTCCCTCCCTTACACCCACCACCCCTCCCTCTCTCTTTCCACCTCCCCTCCCCTTTGGCCTCAGAGCGGCATTCATGGCCTCGAGCTCAGGAATCTCAACGACTACGGTCATCCCTTCATTACGCCGATCAACGAGCGCCTTCACGACGCCGCCGACGGGCTCGTCGCCTTTTACGCCTTTTGTCCGCGGGGCTCCGCGGGCTGCCCCTCGGGAGCGCTGGGCTCGGGCTCTTCAGAAACAACAATGTTCGCAAGCAGTTCCTTGAGAAAACTGAAATCACACGTTGGCATTGTTTACGAGATCAATTGAAATAAATATTGATAGTCATCATAATAACCGTGATGATGATTATTGACAATAACCATAATAATGAAAAAAAATATCATCAGTGATAATGATTGTTATATACTACTAATAAAGATAATAATGGTGATGAAATGATAATAATAGCAACAACAATAATCATAATGCTAAAGACAATAACTAAGGGGACTCGTGGAAATTCTAGGGAAAAAGAGGTACTCCTCTCTCCCTCTCCCGCGCTCCCTCTACCTTTCGCCTCCCCTCTCCCTTTCCCTCTTTTCCTCTCCCTTTTCCTTTCTCTTTCTCTCTTCCTTTCTCTTTCCTCTTTCCTTTCCCTTTCCCTCTACCAATCTCTTCCCCTCTCCCTTTTCGTTTTCTTTCTCTTTCCCTCTCCATTTTCCCTTTCATTTCCCTCTCCCTTTCTCTTTCCCCCTCTGTTTTCCTTTCCCTTTCCCTCTCCAGCAGAATTATAATGTGGAGAAACATAACGAAAGAGCAATAAATGATGAAAAAAAATCCAAGGTAATAATGATACTGGTGATAATAATAACAATAATACTGATAATACTAATAATAATGATGATGATAATGATATTAATGATAATAATAATTATTGTAATAACAATAATGATAATGATCATGATAATAAAAGTACCAATATTGATGATGATGATGATGATATGATGATGATAATAATAATAATGGTAATAATAGTAATAACAATAATAATAATAACGATAATGAATTATAATGTTAATAATAATAATGATGGTGATGATAACTATGATTATTATGATAAAAGTAATAATAAGTAGAAGAAGAATTATAATAACAATAACAATAATAATATTGATATTAATGAAAATAATGATGATGATAACAGCAACAACAACAATAACAACAATGATATTAATAATAATAATCATAGTAATAATAATAATGATAATCATAATAGTACCAACAACAAAAGAACTAATAACAATGATAATAATGATAATAATAATAATAATAATAATAACAATAATAATAATGATATTAATAGTCATAAAATGACAATAATAACAACAACAATATCAACAGCAATAATAATAACGAAAGTGACAATATCAATAACGATAATGATTTGAATGATATCAATCATGATAATATTGATAATGATGACAACACCACCAACAAGAGACAATATTCATAATAACGATGAAAGCAACAGTAATGACAATAATAATAATAATAATAGTAATAATAATAATAATAATATTCATAAGAAAATAATAACAATAATAATGATAATGATAATAACAATAATAATAGCAATAATAAAATAATAATGATAATAGTAATAATTAAAAAATAATGTTGATGATAATTATGAAAATGATGATAGTAAGGATGATAAAGATAATAATGACAATTATCATCATTACCTCTGTTATAATCAATATTATTTCAATTATCATCAATATTAATAATGATAAGGATGAAGGATGAAAATAATAATGATAATAATAATGATGATAATAACAGCAAAAACAAAACAGAAACAACACTAACAACAAGAATAAGAATAACATTAGTAATAACAATGATAATAATTATAATGATAATGATAATAATGATAACAACAACAATAAACAGTAGGAGTGATAATAATTAATGATAATGACAATAATGATGATAATAAAAATGATGACAATAACAACAGCAACAACAATATTAATGATGATAATGATGATAATAACAATGATATCATTATTAGTAATAAAAACGTTAGTAATAATAAAATACAATACTAACAATGATATCAGTAATAATAATGATATTGATAATCATAACGAAAAATAATAAAGAGAATGATACTGATGATGATGATAGTGAATATGATAATTACAATACTACTATACTAATTTCAGTGTCATAATGCTGACGATAAAAAAAATAGGAACACATAACTTTGATTATAATGGAGAACAAGATAATGATAATAATTATATTAAAAATAATAAACAAATAATTACAATGATAATCGCAGTGATGATAATAACGATGCTATTATCATCAACATTTATAATAATAATAATGGTGATAATGATGATAATAATAATAATGATAATAATAATAATGAAAATAATGATAACAACAGCAACAACAATAACAATAATGATGATGATAACGTAAGCATTATCAGTATTATTTTTCATCACTGTCGGTATCAATGATAATTATGATGATAACGAAAACAAAATCATGCATTATTATTACAACATTGTTATTAACATAATGATGATAATAATGATGATAATGATGATAATGATAATGTTGGTAATGATGATGATTATTATTTTGATAGTAATAGTAATGATAATAACATCAGTAAAATCATTAACAGTGATAATGATAACAATGATAATAACGACAATGACGATAATATAGATTAAAATAATGATAACAGTAGGAGAAATAATGATAATAAAGATAATGACAATATAATAAAAACAAAAATAATAATGATAATGATAATAATAATAATAACAATAACAATAATAATGAATACTATAATGATAATAATAACATAATGATAATAATGATAATAATAATAATAATAATAATAATAATAATAATAACAACAATAACAATAATAATAATAATAATGATAATGATAATAATGATGATAACAATATTATAATGATAATGATAATAATAATGATGACACTAATAACAATAATGATAATACTAATAAAAAAAAAATAATGACAATAATAATAAAAAAGATAATAATAATAATAACCAAACGATATGATAGCAATAAGGATTAATACTATAATTATAGTAATAACGTAATCATAAAGACAATATTAATAATGATCAAAATGATAATAATAATAATAATGATAATAATGATAATGATAATGATAAAAACAAAGAATAACAACAGCAACAACAATGATAACGATAATCTTAATAATAACAGTAATAATGATATCAATAATAAAAATAATAACAATAATAATTAAAATCATAATAATAACAATGATAATTATAATAATAATAATGAAAATAATAATAGTAATAATAATAATATCAATAATAGTGATAACAATAACAATAATAATAATAATAATAATAATAATAATAATAATGATAATAATGATAATAATGATAATAATAATAATAATAATAATAATAATAATAATGATGATAACAATAATAATAATAATAACAATGATAGTAATAATGATAATAATGATAATAATTATAATGATGATAATGATAATAATAATAACATTAATAATAATAATAATATTGATAATAATGATAATGGTAATAATAGTAAAAATAAATAATAACAATAATAATAATGATAATATTATTATTAATAATAGTAATAATAAAAAAATAACAACAATAATGATGATAATGGTAATGAGGATGATAACAATAATAATATATGAAAATAGTATTAATAATAATAATGATAATAATAATTGTAATAATAGTGATATGGATAAGTAATGTAGAATTAAAGGTAATATCAGTGATAATGACAATGCTACTACTACTACTAATAATAATGATAACAATAATAATGATAATAATAATGATAATAACGATAATGACCATAACAATGATAATAATACTGATAATGATAATGACAATAATAATGATAATGATATCAAAATAATCATCATAATAATAATGATGATGATGATGACGATGGTGAATTGATGATGATGATGATTATTATAACGATAACAATAACGATAATCAAAATAGCAGCACAAAATAAGAGTAAAATGATAATAATAAAAACTATGATAACACGATGATAATAATATTAGCAATGATAATGTT